TGTGGGGGGGGGGGGCTCGAGGATCCCGATCCCCGCCGTTCCGCGGGCCCTGATATGTAGGCATCTCAAGAAGCATTTTCTTGCCTGGCTGTAAATTTAGGAATTTGTCATTTTCCAACAAACGCATGAAGTGAGGAAAATTATCTCATTTCAGCATTATTTGTAAACCACCGTTATGGAATTATAAATAAACCACGTTTGAATTATATTTCTCCAAAGCCCCCCCCCCCCTCCCCTATCAGTACGCCAGTGGCCCCCCTTTTCTTTCCCTTTCTCTCCTCTTTCACTTTCCCTTCCCTTCCTTATCTCTCTTTTAGGTTTGCTGGGGGGGGGGGGGAAGGGCACGGTCATCTTGGTCCCCAACCCGCTCCACACATTGTTGGCGGGATTAACCGCAACTGATCTCTGCTTCTTTTCTCCCTTTTCTTTTTTTCTTCCTCTTTTTTGTTCCCTTTTAGCTCTCCTCTTTTCCTTTTCCTTCCTTCTCTCTTTTTTTTTAGCGGGGACGGGGGGGGGGAGGCCAGGGTCTTTTGCCCCCCCCCCGATCCACAACTTGTTGGCGGGAAAATTGCAACTGATATCCCCCTAATTTTCTTCTTTCTATTTTGTCCTTCCCTTTATCTCCTCTTTATCTTTTTTCTTTCCCTTTCCTTCCTTCTCTTTTATTTTTTTATTGGGGGGGGGGGGGGAATGGGGAGGCAAGTCCTTCCCTTCCCCCCCCCCCCCCCCCCCCCGATCTCCTTATTCCCTCTTTTCTTTTCTTCTTCCTCTTTTTTTTTTCCTTTCTCTCCTTTTTCCCTTCTTTTCCTTCTCTCTCTCTCCTTTTTTTTTCTTTTTTTTGCGGGGGGGGGGGGCCAAGGCACGCTCGCCCCCCCCTGGATCCGCGCCTGGTCATGGTCATTATATACGCGGAGTATAGAGTATAATTTATATTTATGGTTAATTGACTTCAGTTCACAAATCTAATAAATCACATCACATCATAAACAGAAGTCTAGAATGGAATTCGTTATTTGACTCAATCCGAAAATCTATTATGAGTTGAATCAACATGAGACTGGTCATTGTTTAGACTGTGAGACGAAACAGAAACACTTAACCATTTCTTATGCAAGTGCCCGCTCTTTCTTATAGAGAGAGCCATGCTTATTACAGAATCTGGCATAGAAAACGAAAAAACTATCCCAATACTCCTGAAATCCACAGACATTAACCACCAGCAGGCTCTGGTCAACTTCGTAGTTAGAAGTAAAAGGGTACACCTGTACACCTACTAACCACCCTGCGCCGCACATAATTATTCGAGCCCAAGATGTTAGAGCGTGATACATGAAGAAGAAGAAGAGTGAACAAAAAAAGTAAAGAGAACTGTCTATATTAACGTTTAGAATCTTCATTGTATATGATCTGTTTTTTAATGACTTTCGGACAACATTTTGAAGAAACGCGGTGGAGACGACTAAACTTATTGGTGGACGTCGGAGGGCCTAGGCTCAGCATTAGGCTGAGTTGGGAAGCTTGTCACAACGTACCGTGTCTGAGCTGGTCCTTAGACGTCCCCTGTTCAGACCTGCCCCTGTTGGTGGGAACCATGCAGAAGTGCCTCTGCCAAATATCACTGATGGGCAAATACATGGATGGCAGATGAGATACAATGCAGACAAATGTTGAGTCCCGCATTTTGGAACCCACAACCCACACTACACGATGGGCAACTCCCAGCTGAAAGAAAGTACAGAAGAAAAAGTTATAGGGGTTCTACTTCACAAGTCCTTGAATGTTGCCTCCCTATGGTGGCCCTGAAGGGACATCGCGAATAGACTAAATCGTGAAAAATATGCGATAAAATTCACGATATCGTCAATTTTATCGCATATTTTTCACGAAGAAATTCACGAAATTGACGATATCGTGAACTTTATCGTGAACTTTTCACGATGAAATTGACGATATCGTGAATTTTATCGTGAAAAGTTCACGATATAAAGTTCACGATATCGTCAATTTTATCGTGTACTCTATCGTGTACTCTCCTGACGGGCGCTTCGTAAACAAAACCAGCCCTAGCTGGGGGAGACAGAGAGAAGGAAAAAAGGGTAAGGGAAAGAGAAGATAAAAGGAAAGAAAGAATAATAAGAAGAAAAGAGGGAAACGGGGGAGGGGCGAAGGGCTCTTGCCTCCTCCTCACTCCCCCCCCCCCCCCCGCCAAAAAATAAATAAGGAGAGAGAGAAGGGAAAGGGAAAGGGAAAGAAAATATAAAAGAAAGAAAGAAGAGGAAGAAGGAAAGAGGGAAACGGGGGAAGGGCGAAAGGCTCTTACCTCCCCCCCCCCCCGCCAAAAAAATAAATAAGAGAGAGAGAGAGAGAGAGAAGGGAAATGGAAAGAAAGAAGAGGAATAAGAGGGAAACAGGGGAAGGGCGAAGGGCTCTTGCCTCCTCCCCCTCCCCCGCCAAAAATAAATAAGAGAGAGAAGGGAAAGGGAAAGAAAATATAAAATGAAAGAAAGAAGAAGAAGACGGAAAGAGGGAAACGGGGGAAGGGCGAAAGGCTCTTACCTTTACATCCAGGAGTAACGAAGTGTACAAATCACTCGTCAGATCCCCCCAGTGGTGGATCCAGGGGGAGGGCCCTCCGCCCCCCCCCCCCCTCCCTTGAGAAAAAAATCATGTAAAAACACGTAATTTTTACGTTTTGGGGGTTGGGCCCCTCCCCCCTGGCGCTCTAGGGGAGGGGGGGGGGTGCAATTTTTTTTTAATTTTCGAGGACCAAAACAAATAAAAATGTGCTCACTACCCCCCCCCCCCCTCCCCTAAGAAATCCTAGATCCGCGCCTGGACCCCCCCCCCCCCCCTAAATTACGCCACGCATGTCTGGTGTCCCTACCTGGTTAAAGACAAAAAGCAGTTGGAAAAAGTTCAAGCAAGAGCCACAAAACTCATTCCAAGTATTCAACATCTACCATATTTTGTGAAGAGAGATAAGCAAAAACTACTTTGGAGAAAAGAAAATGAGGAGACCTATTGCAAACCTACAAGATAATGACACAAATCGACAAATCCAAACCCGAGAATTATTTTCAGTTTGCTAACTATGATAGAACAAGAGGTCATTCCATGAAGCTAGCCGAAACAAGAAGCCGCCTTGACATTAGGAAATATTTCTATAGCCATAGAGTTTCAAACGAATGGAACAAGCTGCCACAAACTGCGATTGATGCTCCCACACTCATCAGCTTCAAACGACAACTATCCAACCTGGGTTTTTAAATGGGTCCCATGGGACCCCCTTAACCCTGCCACACCGCACTGTCTACGGGATCTTCATCACCACGATGGCGAGGTGTGGCCAAATATTCCCCTAGGCTGGTGCTGCCCTCTATGGCTAAATACCGTACGTAGTTGCGATAGCGAGAATTAATTAACGAACTCAAACCAAGTTACTTGGATATCGATGGAATTAATCCAGATTCTCATGCATTGCGCACAGTGGCGTAGACAGGTTCGTACACCTGGGGGGGGGGGATGACTCAGGGGCGGATCTAGCTTTTTGCTAAGGGGGGGCCGGGGGTGACCAATAATGACGATGCGGAGCCGCGAAGCGGCGAGCCGATTTTTTTTTTTGGGTGTTTATTTGAACCCCGTAAGTGATGTTTTCCTGGCATCTATTAACACAATGGAGACCATAACAAGCAGTGCATGATAACGTCTTTTTAAATCAAGTAACAGTTAAATACACAGTTATATCCAGAGTTATCATGTGTTTGGTTAAGTTACCAGATGAGTTGAATATCTTCTCACAATATTTGCACTTGAAAGGGTTTCTCTCCAGCGTGCGTTCTTTTTTCTTTCTTTTTTTCTTTTTCTTTTCTTTTTTTTTTCCTTTATTTTTTTTTGTATTTTGGGCCGCCCAAGGGGGGGGGGGGGTTAAACCCCCTAACCCCCCCCCCCCCGTAGATCCGCGCCTGTTTTATCTTGTGGTTATCTTGTGGTTTCCAAACCACAAGATAACCTCTATGGCTATCTATGCCCTCTATGGCTAAATACCGTACGTAGTTGCGATAGCGAGAATTAATTAACGAACTCAAACCAAGTTACTTGGATATCGATGGAATTAATCCAGATTCTCATGCATTGCGCACAGTGGCGTAGACAGGTTCGTACACCTGGGGGGGATGACTCAGGGGCGGATCTAGCTTTTTGCTAAGGGGGGGCCGGGGGTGACCAATAATGACGATGCGGAGCCGCGAAGCGGCGAGCCGATTTTTTTTTTTGGGTGTTTATTTGAACCCCGTAAGTGATGTTTTCCTGGCATCTATTAACACAATGGAGACCATAACAAGCAGTGCATGATAACGTCTTTTTAAATCAAGTAACAGTTAAATACACAGTTATATCCAGAGTTATCATGTGTTTGGTTAAGTTACCAGATGAGTTGAATATCTTCTCACAATATTTGCACTTGAAAGGGTTTCTCTCCAGCGTGCGTTCTTTTTTCTTTCTTTTTTTCTTTTTCTTTTCTTTTTTTTTTCCTTTATTTTTTTTTTTGTATTTTGGGCCGCCCAAGGGGGGGGGGGTTAAACCCCCTAACCCCCCCCCCCCCCCCGTAGATCCGCGCCTGTTTTATCTTGTGGTTATCTTGTGGTTTCCAAACCACAAGATAACCACAAAATACTTGTAAGATTTTCTTTTTTTACCGTCTGAATTGGCTTTCACCGTGTGAATGCGGCTAATAACAATAAACACAATTACATATAATGATGAGGATTATTATTATCATCATCATAATTATTATTATTATTAATATTATAATAGTTATCATTATTATTATTACTATTATTATCATCATTATGACTTATTAAGTAAGCAAATATCATTCCCCAAAACCTGGGGGGATGATTGTACATGCCATCCCCCCACCTTGTGAGGTGGGGGGATGCATCCCCCTCATCCCCTCCGTTGTCTACGCCCCTGATTGCGCATGCTCTCATTCGCTAATTTGCATATTATGACCTCTGGCCGAAATTACCATATCCCCGCGCATTAATATCTTTATTAATAATTTCCACCTGTATTTCAATGTTGTGAGCAAACATGTCACAAACCGTCATAATAGAGGGAGGGGCTTTCGTGGCTGCCATGTTGAGATATAATCTTTCATACTAACAGGCGGTGAAGAGCGAAGTGCCAAATGTTTAATTGGATCAGTTTTGCATCATAATTGTTTGGACATTTCTGAAAATGGACGACGGATTTAACATGCAACTGAAATAACCATGACGTCTGAAAAATTGAGTCAACCGCCTGCAAACGCAAGGAGACTTCAGTTTTCCAAAGTGTATCTCGTACTAATCATTTTTTCAATTTTCTTGATGACGGCGGTTTGCATTTACGGTGTAGAAGATAAATTCGTTGTATACCAAAGGGGTCAGTATATTCAAGTTCAAGTTCATTCTTTATTCGTTTTTCAGTTTAAAAACATACAACCATGTTTAAAAATCATTTCGAGGTAAGATACACCGTACATCAAATGAATTAATTTACAATACAAAGAATAAAAGGGCCATTAAATGAATTTAAAAACGGGATTTTTCTTGACGAGTTGGGCAAGAAATTCCATACAACGCTTCCAAAATGGAAAATTTATTTGTTTACATGCATTGTATTGTATTTATTGAACTTCATGATGTACGTCAATAATCTTTGTAAAAACATATAAATCAATTTACAATGCAATTTATTAACAAATCAATATTCTGTTTGTAAACATATAAATCATATAAATCATATAAATCAATTGCAGTGTAGCATACCAGAAGGAGAATTTTATACAGTAATAACATGACACATGGTGCACAAAGTAAATAATACACTGTACCATAATACATCCGAAGATTAGATATATAAAACCTACTATATCTATTTCTAAATAAATTATAACTAATGCTAAAGAAAATAGGCAAATGAGGTACATGGAATGCAATATACAGTGCGTCCCAGAAAAAACGAAACCGAGAGTTATCGATGTTTTATCATAACTTAATCACAATTATAATTAATAAATGACACGTATTTAGAAAGCTCAGATCCTCGTCTTTCATTTGATGCAAAACATATGATTCATATCTCACGCATAAGTGATTAAAAGCAATTTTAAGAGAGGAAACCAAAAAGTCATTTGGCGGACGGTATCTGAATTTCAAGGAGGAAATCATATTTCTAGAAAGTTCAATTTCTTTTCTTTCATATAACACCTCAATAAGGTAAAATGAGCCAGGAATAACAACGTTCTGTTTGTTTAAAGTAATGCTTGCATTGAAAATGAGTTCGTTTTCACTGGCTGCCTGCCGTAGCAACTAACAGAGTTGACAAAAGACTTAACTCCATTTCGTTGAAGATCAGCCATGCATCAGGTCTTTCGTTTTCTTTGTGCATGGCTTATCGCACTGTGTAATCGTTTCGCCTAAAATAAATGAAGTAATGGTACCTATAAATAAATGTATATGTGACCTACTGTAAAAATAAACCCAAAACATAACATTGTAAATGTTTTGCATATTACATATTTGCAAAGCTTAGATCCTCCTCTTACAAATATGTGTCATTAATTAATTATAATTGTGATTAAGTTATTATAAAACATCGATAATTCTCGGTTTCGTTTTTTCTAGGTCGCACTGTATGTGTATTCGACCTAATGTATTGAACGACAATGACCCCTCCTCAAGGCAAAACATTTACAATGTTATGTTTTGGGTTTAATTTTACAGTAGGTCACATATATATTGATGTATAGGTACCATTACTTCATTTATTTTAGGCGAAACGATTATATATTGCATTCCATGTACCTCAATTTCAATTTTTCAATTTATTTTCCTTCTTTAAACAAAGAATAAATATAACATAGTATTGACACATTGTATTAAAATAACAATATAAACATAAACATGGAGGGATACCCTTAATAAGCAGGTTGCTTGTATACAGGGCCCCGGTATACAATATAAAATTTATAACTTTGTTACAGAAATATCTAAACATTTGAGAAAATTATAAAACAGCAAATTGAATATAAATTAGGAAATTGTGATCATCTTAACAGCTACTATAAAAAGACAGATACAGGTACACGTCCACACACAGACATACAAATACCCTAGCATGCACACATTAGCATACACACACAATAAGATAGATGAGATAGAGTAAAATATCATAGGGAAGGAATACATAGAGAAGGAGAAAGAGAAAGAGAAAGAGAGAGAGAGAAAGAGAGGGGAGGGGGAGTCAGAATTAGAATGAGTAGGCATGGTGAAAAGAAAAGAGAAAGAGAAGTTGTAGGAGTGGAGAGAGCTCATGAAATAGGAGAAGAAAATTAGAATTAATTAATACATTTTATATATCTACTTAGCACGTATTAATATTGGTGAGATACAGTCTTTTTATAAAAAAAATTGAATTTTGACAGAGTTGAGCTTTGTTGAATACTGTGATCAAGGCTGTTCCACAATTTAATATATTTTACACGGAATGAGTTTGAGGCCATGGAGGTGGAAATCTTAGGTTGATGAAATAGTTTACATTGACGAGTGTTTTAATTATGTACAGACGAATTAAGGGTGAACATATTTTCAAATATTTTTGGTAAAAATCCAGACTGGTATTTATACATAAGAATAAGAGAGTTCATAGAAATTAATTCAGAGATTGGTAAAATATTCCTTTTCTTAAATAATGGCATACTCGGACAGTAATATGGGGATGATGTAATAAGTCTAATTGCTTTTTTCTGAAGTATTATAAATCTAGAAAGATGGCTTTTGAAAGTATGACCCCATACAGAATTACAGTATGTTAGGTGAGGCAAGATTAAACTATAATATAAAGTGACGAGTATGTTTTGTGGTAATATAAATTTGAGCCTTGATATGATTCCTATACATCTTGATACTTTAGTACAGATACTACTAATATGCGGTTTCCATGAGAGAAATTCGTTGACTGTAATACCTAAAAATTGAACATTATCCACACGTGATATATCATGACCACCAATAGTAAAATTATTAAGATCATTCGGGACCCTCCTGCTCCTCGTTCTGAAAATCATAAACTTTGTTTTGTCAAAATTCAATGAGAGTTTGTTGCAACAGAACCAATCATATAAATGATTAACTTCTTTAATAGTAATGGACATTAAATCATAGATATTCTTGTGAGAAGTTAAGATGCACGTGTCATCAGCAAATAATGAATAGCGAAAAAAATTGGAAGATTGTGTTATATCATTTATTTAAACAAGGAACAAGAGGGACCCGAGTACAGAGCCTTGCGGAATTCCATATTGAGTATATTTACGTTGAGATTGGACACCATTGACCACAACATACTGATACCTATTACTCAAATAATTTTTAAACCAATCTAAAGCTAGCCCTCTAACACCATATGCATTTAGTTTACGTATGAGTATGTTGTGGTCAATGGTGTCAAAGGCTTTTGACAGATCCATAAATAATCCAATACAGTAATTGCCTTCGTCAATTTGTTGTGATATAAAATTTGCAATATTTAATAGACCCATAGAAGTTGAAAAATTTTCACGGAAACCAAATTGTTCAGGTATGAGAATGTCATTAATTTGAAGGTGGGAATACAATCTTTTATGAACAACCTTTTCTAGAAGTTTGGAAAAAATGGTAACAATGATATAGGTCTGTAGTTTTCCAAATTTTGAGGGTTTTTCTTTTTGTACACAGGTATAATCTTGGAAACTTTGAGTCTGTCAGGTATAATCCCTTGTGATAGAGATTTATTAAATATTATACAAAGCTAATCAACAAGTAAATGAATAGAGTCCTTAAGCACTTTGGGGCCATATCATCAGACCCACTTGCTTTAGATGATTTCATAGAAGAAACAGTTTTTTTTAGAATTTCATATACAGATGTAGGTTTTAGGAATAGAGAAGAGTAGCTCTTATCAACAGGCATGAAGTCATGAAATAAATGAGGAGAGGTAGGTATATCCTGAGAATGTTTTTCAGCAATATTTACAAAATAATGTTTAAAGGAATTTGAGATAACATGAGGTGAGGACAGATGAACAATTTCATGATACATTTTCGCAGGAATATTTTGACGCCTTTTCCCTAAAAGTCCATTGATATTACTCCAAGTTTTTTTCATGTCACCTTTTATCTTATGAAACATATTATAAAAATATTTCTTTTTAGAAGATCTTATAGTAGCAGTAAGTGAGTTTTTATATTTAACATATTTTCTCTTACTTACAGATTTTTTCAAGTATTTATGATATAATTTCTGTTTGACTTGAATTGATTTTAATATACCAGTTGTAATCCATGGTCTTTTACACTTCAATTTAGAGTTACGCCTCTGAACAATAGGGAAACATTCATTATACAAATTGGATAATATATTAATAAATAAGTCATATGATTTGTTTGCATCTATAGTATTTTGAACTGGAGTCCAATCAACATTCAAGAGTTTGTATTTAAATTGTAAAAGTTGATTATTATCAATAATTCTACCATTGGGGGTGGTGTTGACACTTGCATATTCAATAATCTGTTAATTGTTCACACATCATACTGGGAAGTGGTCTGATATATCAGAATAAATTAGACCACTCTGTAAGTCGCTGTGTAAGCAATTAGTAAAAATATTATCGATAAATGTAGCTGTATTTGGGGTAATACGTGATGGTTTTGTGATCAGAGGAAACATGTAGTGTGAATACATTGTATTTAAGAAATCATACGTTTTGGTATCACTAGAATAATTTAGGAGATTTATATTAAAGTCCCCAAGTAAGTAAATTTCTTTATTTTCATTACACAACTTGTGCAAATAATAGTCAATTGTCTCAGTAAATTCAGTATTATCAGTGTTGGGGGACCGATACACACAGCCTATAACAATCGCTTTCTTTTTTTCTTGTGGTAATTCAATAAATACAGTTTCGCAGTATGATGTACTTTTGCAAAGTTCTGATCGAATTGCAAATTCAAAAGAATTATTAATATAAATGGCAACACCACCACCATATTTTCCAGATCTGTCAGTATTGACAAGCGAATAACCATCCAATGCAAACATATTAGCAACAGTATTTTCTCTGAACCAGGTTTCAGATATTCCTATAGCTGTAAATGCATGATTCAAACTTTTCAATAACAACTGTAACTCATCAAAATTTCTCGGGAGGCTTCGAGCATTTATATTTAAAATTGAAAAACTTTTGTTTGAGTTCTGAAACTTTGATTTAAAGTCATCTGAGAACAAGTATTTACAGTTACGTTCTGGAAAATAGTCATCAGATTCAGATTGAAAGGTAGTATCAACTAAGATATTGTCAGAATTAGCGAGATCATTGTTCATTTCAAAAGGGTTTACTGA